AGTTGACGGTACATTTTTGTTTAAATTGATAGTTTAGTTGTCCTATAAACTTAAATTGGTCATGTTCTTGTTATGCAGCTAGTTAATGAAATTCAAGTTAAAAAAAATGCTATAATTTTTGCACCTATTTTCTTGTAATTTATTAAAAGAAGGTACACCGCCATCTTGTGCCGACTAAACTGACTTGAATGCACCTGACGTCGTAATTTGTTACGACTTGTCAACACGTAAGTACGAACGTCCCGGGAGGACTTGAACGCAGCATACTTCCGCGTTGAAAAATAAATCAAACCATTAAATCATTATTTAAAACTACAAAAAGGAGACAACAATGGAACAGTAGAAGATGGCATTCTTTCAATCTGCAGAAGGACTTGTACCACGGCAGATCAACATTGTTTGTTGCGGACAACTACTGATGTATAATGCTATGTAGTACAATAAATGATAAGACACTTGTTCTTTGCTTTGTTTTATTTTATATAAGAAGGTGTAACATTAAAATATATTAAAGTGCACATAAACACACACAAGACTCAAGTACATACGGAGGGAGGGGTTCTTGCAGACCAATCACAGCGCTTGCGGTCTGCGTAGAATTGACGCGCTGTTAGATTTTTGGAGGTGCACGTCAGGCTACGGCGTATGGGTGTGCGTCTATGCGTAAGCTACGGCGTAGGTCCGACGCAGAAGTATAAATCAGCCTTTAAGGTGGAAATCTGACGTTGCTCCTGTTTGCCCCGCCCACTCAGAAATCTCATTGGTCCAAAATCACGCAACAATATAACTATGCATAACACATGAAATATCCTGATTTTCTGACTTGTAGCGCATAGACAAAGAAATTATTTGTTGCTGGAAACTTTCCATTGCTACATGGTGTTAGGACACGGTGTTACATTAATAAGAAATTACATTTTACGGATTTAGCTAATGTTGCATTTCATTATTATAATGAAGTAGTGGAAACAAATCCTATGTTTTTCCTGTTTCTACTGATTCCAGGGTGAAATGTAAGGCGACAGGCGCATTGGCTGCAGCAGGTGACAGCGCATGAAAGCACATCATCAGTAACGCACACTAGAGCTAGTGCCCTATGCCCTACCTGAGCGCCACGCGCACTGCGCTCTCGTCCTGTCCGCTTGACATGATTAGATCTGCATCGATCGATCGATCCTGCTCGGCTCATACACGCATCAGCTCTGCCATACCCAGGACTTTGATGTGCATGCACCCGCTACAGCAGCGATGCATTGCGATCACGCGAGATCATTCGCTCGACGCCGAGCGCGTCCCGACCTCATCTGATCTGCACGCTCGCTTCATGAAGACCCAGCCGCAATGCGTCACCAAACCACGCCTCCCCCAAGACCCCTGGAGGGTGACGTCACCACACGCATGCAAATCAGTCTGTTCGGCTTGATATTATGAGAGACATAATAGCTGTAGGCTCTAGATATTCCAGATTACTTCATATTGTGGGATATATCTGTAGAGATGCACTGTTCGCTGCACTGATATGCTTAAGTCATTTCAGTTAAATTTATTTTGAACCTTTATCTTATTTGGTAGTATTATTAATGATATTTAATATATTTATCATGTAACTGAATTTGTTTTGTTGATATATATATAGTATTATTATTATTGAACAGTAGAGATGATTGGTATGTCATTTATTTATTTTATTATTTTGCTAAATATTGTATTAATCACATCCAAAATAAAAGTGTTTGTTTACATAATATATTTATGTGTACTGTGTATATTTATTATTTGCATATAAATACACACACATGCATGTATATATTTAAGAAACATATGTTATGTTTATATATTAAATATATTTATATATAATATACATTCTATGAATATAAATATACATGTAAATATTTTCAAAATATATGCTGTATGTGTGTTTATATATACATAATAAATATACACAGTATACACATATTATGCAAACAAAAGCTTTTATTTTGGTATATATATATATATAATTAGAAGTTTATAGCCAATATATACATATATATATATATAAAATTAGAAGTTTATAGCCAATATACATTTATACATACATATATATTTGTAAATATACATACGTATTTGTTATGTATAAAAAATAATTGCAGCACTTAAAGCCTTTATATATAATGCTTCCTAAAGGTATTCTTAATGTATGTTGTAATGCTTTTCGTAAATCTTTTCATAAATCATTGTAACCAAAGTTAAAATGCATTATAATATTTAAAGGTTTGTTTGTTATGTGTTTCAATGCATTGTACTTTTTAAAAGTGTAGCAATGAATAGATAAGTATTATAATTTAACATAACTGCGGATACAATTATTCATGAAATCATAAAATGTATTATAAGGATCATTACAAAGCATAAACTGTTACCAAATACAAATATCATATATACCATAAAAAAACATATTGTATACATTAGCATTATGTGTTTTGTGCTCATGCTGTATCTGATGCAGTGGTGTTGTGCGCTCTCGTGTGGTAATGCTTTGATTTTCACATCACATCTGTTTTCTAAGCCAGGATAAAAGCATTCAAACATTACAATAAAATAGCACTGGTTTATTTCATCTGCATTGAAATATTAACTTAAGCACATGTTTTTCAGGCCGATGGGAAAATCTTTCCACAGTAAGGGGGTCTGGGGCAGTGTACTGTAGTGCACTTCAGCTGGAATTGAGTGTGAGAGCATAACAGTGCAGCTAACAGAGGTGAAACAGTTCAGCACTGGAGCTCGAGTGTCTTGACCTCCTGCCAAACTGCAGTGTCCAGTTACTCGCTCTCACGTTACCAGAGCGGCCCACAGCAGAGGCACACACACAAGTACAGTATACAGGACACTTTCTACCAGTGTACAGTGCACTTCAGTGTCCCCTCACCTTTGAGACACACTAGAGACACTAACCCAGTGTTGGTTGTGAGAAAACCAAAGCACTTACACACACACACACACACACACACACACACACACACACACACACACACACACAGAATGATTGCTCTTCTCTTGCTTCCTAATCTAGTACACATGGCATTGCATATTACAAATGACTGTTTGACGAAGCACTTTTGTGAGTCACTTTGGATAAAAGTGCCTGCTAAATGTATAAATGTAAACATAAAATAAGCCTAGTGTGAAAACATTGGTCATTTTAAGCAAATTAAATAAAATCTAATAAAACCGACTGCGTTCACACAATATTTCGTATGAGAAGTTGGTGGGTCAGTGCTCTGCTCTGGGCTAAATGAGGGGTAGAGAGGTCAAAGAGGGTCGGATCGGGACAGGACTGAACAGGTTTCAGCCTGACGGAGCCGAGACCACCAAACTCTACAAGAGACTGACACAACCAGCTTAAGAACCATTCAGAAACATTTATTCATCTGAAAATGTACAAATACAGCATTTATCAGCAGCAACTTCATAGAGTCTTCTCAGGAACAATAGTTAAAGGGTTAGTTCACCTAAAAAATGAAAATTCTGTCATTAATTACTCACCCTCGTGTCGCTCCAAAATTGTGTTCCGAAGATGAACGAAGGTCTTACGGGTTTGGAACAACACGAGGGTGAGTAATTAATGACAGAATTTTCATTTTTGGGTGAACTAGCCCTTTAAATATTGAAATGGCTAAACTGCCTCAATGATTGACTGTGAGTATCATGCCTTTCGGTTTATATTGAGAACCCCAGAAGCAAAAGTAACAAGTTAATCTAATTTGTTGCATGTACCAAAACCTACTTTTGAAACACAGAAGAAAAAAGAAGAACTGTATAGAAACTTTTGATTTGAAACAATTAGTGTGAAACAAATTTCAATAAATACAAAGAAACAGCACGTAACACAATGAATTAAACACAACTAGTGCTGTCAAACAATTAATTAATCGCATCCATTATTGACACAATTGCGGTTTTAAAACATGAGTCAACTTGAACGATGAATCTCTGGAATGGGAACCACAGCATCCCTCACACCACAAATCATCGTCATCAGTGTCTATTCATCATCAGTAACATCTTCATCAGAGCGGCAGTTTCCTCCGTTTACCCGGATGTAATGAACGCTCTGACTGCCGCCGGCTCCACAGCTGCACAGCTGTCTCCCGAACAGAGACTCCATCTCCTCCAGACGCAGACCCTTGGTCTCCGGCAGACAGCCTACCACAAACACAAAGCCCAGCAGAGCCAGACCGGAGTACAGGAAGAACGCACCTGGACAAAGGAGACATTCACACTGAAATAAATAGAAAATAATCTCATTTTCTCATTTTCTATAAACACATTTCAGCAATAGTCCCCATACAAGTATAGATCACATTCTGTTTATTTATTAGATGATTGTTAAATTGTGGTGTTTGCTAAGTCAATAACCTGGCTGGTCTTAGCTGGTTTAAGCTGGAAATAGCTGGTTTTAGCTGGTTGGTCAGCTTGTCTCCCAGCCTGGCCAGCTAAAGAAATGGTCAAAACCCTCTAAAACCAGCCTGCAAACCAGTTATGACCAGGCTGGAAGTCCAGCTAAAACCAGCTTAGTCTGGTTTTTCAGCTTAGGCTTTTTTCCCCTGCAGGGAAGCATCATTACTAAAATTAGAGTAAGTGATTTGAACAAACCCCTAAACCTATGTATTAAACTTTGGCGAGTACAGCATCATTTGTGCTATGGCTATAAATTATCCATGAACAACCACCTAAAACACCCCAGCAACCCCAAAACAATACCCTATGAACCACTCAGAACACCCAAGGAACCACTCTGAACTATTTAATAACTGCATAGTAGCTCACAAAAAACACTCAGAACACCTTAGTAACAATTCAGCCAGAAAAGCCTAACTACCTAGCAACCGTAGAGCAACATGCTAGCAACCACTCAAACACCCCATTCAAGTGCATAGCAACTACTCAAAATATCCTAATTGAATGAAATGACAACAAGCTTAAAGCACTTTAGTAACCAGAACCACCCACCAAGAATGACCCAAATGCTACTATAGCAACCACACAGAAACACCTTATCAATCACTAAGAACATCCAATGAACCACCCAAAACAAAAACACCTAGAACTAAAACTCTAAAAACTGCATAGCAATGTACATAAAACTTGCAGAACAGCTTATAAACCATTCAAGTAGAACAAACAAGCACCAACATAGCAAGTCCCAAGCTACTGCAAAGCAAAGCACAAACAATCACCTGAACACCGTGAATGGCGTAGCAACTACTCAGAACAACCTAACAGCTGAATGACAACATACTTAAAAACACATGAGCCCCAAAGCAACTCTAGCAACAACCTGAACACTGAAGCAGCTGCATAGCAACACCGTATCAACCACTCAGATCAACCAAGAAACCACAGAACAACTAGAACACCCTAGCAATTGCAAAGCAAGAAGCAAGCAACCACCTGAACACATTATCAACAGCATAGCAACTACTCAGAACCACCTAGCAACTGCATGACAACAACTTTAGCAATGCCCAACCCCAAAGCAACACCCTAGCAACCAGCCAAACACTCTAGCAACCACATTATAGCAACACACGACCAACCACTCAGAGCACCCAAGCAACAATCCAGAACAACCTAGAAAACTGCATGGCAGCATACACGTAACACCTTAGCAACCACCTAACTATAACACCCTAGCAACCGCAAAGCAACATGCTAGCAATCCCCCAAACAATCATCAACTGCATAGCAACTACCCAGAACAATCTAGCAACAACCTAGCAACTGAATGACATGTTAAACACTCAGAACACCTTAATAACCTTAAAAGTGCCTGACAAACACACAGGACACCCTAGCAACGACAAAATAATGCCCTAGCAACCTCCCAAGCCAACCCAGCAACCACATAACAACATACATTCAAGCAACCCTAACAATGCCCTGGAAACCACACAGAATAGCCAAGCAACCACCCAGAACAATTTAAAAACTGCTTAACAACACACCAAAAAAAAAACTCAAAACACCTTAGTAACAACTCGGCTAGAATAGCCTAGCAACTCCCCTAGCAACTACAGAACAACCAAAAAAACTGCATAGCAACATATACCTTAACAACCGCCGTGCAACCACATAATTCCCTAGCAACTGCAATGCGACCCAGAACCAGAACAACCTAGTAGCTGTATAACAACATGTTTATAAACACTCAGAACATCTTAACAACCTTATAAATTCCATGACAAACACAAAGGACACCCTAGCAACGACAAAATAATGCTCTAGCA